CATTAAAAAGGGTGCCACATTATGCAGGCCCGCTTCGTTGCGCCTTGGGGTACGTGCGGCTGCGGGTCTGTGGGTAGGCCACTTCGATGTTTGCGGTCAGGAGTGGCTCCCGCCTCAGTGCACGTGAGCACGTTTGCACGTCTTGTTGGTTTGAGACCGGCTTGGGAAGCCGAGAAGCTGAGGTCCTGTCTTCCGTGGACTGTTTGTGCGATGAGTGGAAGTGATCGCGCTGTGAGAGAATCTCAAACAGAGCGCAGTGCTTGCGGCTTTCGGAGGTGTGAAAAAGCGCAGACGCCACTGCAACAACCGCTGTAGGACGCATCCCCATCAAGTTCAAGCAGCGTTTGAAGAGAGCATCAAAATGCTGAAAGTTTCTCTCTTTGCAGCGGCAGCTCCATAAGGCAGAAGAAGAGCCAATCGAGTCAGAGGCAAGGTCGGGAGATGTCGCGAGGTCCAAAGCTTTTTAGGCGTTTTCAGTTTGGACGTGAAGGCCTCCGAGGGATCTGAGCTCAAGGCGGCAGTATGCGGCAGTGCAGCAGTTTCTCACCTCTTCAAAAGCCAAAAGTGAACGGCGAGACTTTCGCGAGGCCGAGGCACGGCAGGCACTGGCCAGGCTGGGAAAGCAAAGCCGAGCAATCGAGAGAGCAGCTTTCCTTCAGGTTCCAGAAAGGCTCTGCAAGTGATTTAAGGCTGGTGTCGGCCAAACGGCAGGAGCTGCAGCGCATTCAGCTCCAAGCGAAGGCTCAAAGCGGGTGCTGCGAAGTGAGAGAAGTGTGAGAGCTGTGCTCAGACTTCTGAAGGTCCAGCAGCTCGCAGAGATGCGGAAGCGGTTGCAGGCTGCAGCGGACGAGTGTTGCAGCAAATGCTTCGCAAATGCTTCTGAGCCAGGCTTCCAGAAGCGCTCAGCTTTGCGAAGATGAGATGAGGCCCGTGACCGTGACCACCCTGCTTTTCTACCAGAGTGAAGTGTGGTTAACGGAAAGACGTAGGGAGGTTCAACGGTAAGTTATGATTAGCGATTGTTGTGCTGTACAACATGCTCTTTTTTTCTTACAGGGAGCAGAGCAGAGCAGGGTCCTGGCTCCGTGGCTGTGGCCCACTGGCGAGCTGTGGCGGCCTGTGAGAGACCACTGCTTTGCAGTGCTACGAATCCTGTGGCATGAAGCCTCGCATGCGTGTGACAGCTTCAAACTGAAAACGCTTTGACTCCAAGAAATGGGGAAAGAGATGAAGGTACAGCATCTGGAAAGTCGGAGAAGTCGTCGACAAAATGTCAGGAAGTCTTGAGCTACGACAGCAAGCTCCCATCGCCGCCGCTCTGGATCTCTGGAAAGCAAAACTTCTTCTGGGCGTGTCTCTTGCGAAGCAAAAAAGTACTCGCCTCGTTTTCTGTTGTGGGTTTCAAATGATTGTCCCCTTTGCAAGCGGCTGACTCACTACCAGGCTTGCCTCCTCCGTGTTTAGTGTTCACTACCCTCGTGTGGCCGTGGTTCGGGTGACATGCTGGGGTTGTTGCATGAAACCTCCCAACTCTTTCTTAGCTCGAATCATGCTGAATCATGCTGGGTGGTTGCATGTGTGGTGATCACTACCTGTTCATGGTCAAGGTTTGAAACACCCTGCCCGGTGTTTGCATCAAAGCTCCCCACCACTTCTGTAGTCTGTCTTTACTACTCTTGTAAGGCCATGATACGCATGGCATGACGCTGGTGCTTGCATCACACCTCCCTACTCCTTCTGTGGCGCTGATGTAGAGTCATGCTACGAATGACATCATGCCTGATAGTGTTATCAAACCTCCCTGCCGCCTCCGCAGTGTTGACTACCCGTGTGGTCATGGTACAAATCATCATTCTGGATGTGGTTGATAGGACCTGCCTCCTCTAGTTGACAGCACTGGCGGCCTTCATGGTTTGTGGTCAAGCTGGTTTTATGGTCAAGCTGAAGTTCCCGAACCTCCTAGCCATTCACTAGTGCAGGGTTATTCCAATTATTCGGGAGGCCATTAGATACTCACAGTGCTTGCATTCTGGATGCATTTGATATGTGGACATGGTGCTGGCAAGCTCGACAACCCAAACATGTGACTACATGTTCTACCCCGTCTATCTCGCACAGCAAAGACAGCGAAAGCTACGACACATTGGACATTTCCGTCATGTTGCTACGGGTCTCTGACCTGCTACCTGCGCGGGCATCGTGTGGGACGGCTTTTGCCTTAGGGGTGCCGATATAGGTCGACATTGCCATTTGCACTCGAGAAGGCTTGAAGATTTGAACAACTAAATTCCACTTCGGCTCAAACTTTTGGCTCAATACATTAACATATTAAGGAAGGTACCATGTCTTGATATGGATTGCATTCCAAAGTTTGCCATCCTGTAATTCCGTGATGAGCATGCCAGCAGAGCGTACTCAGCGCGCTTTCCTCGCCGCAGGCTGGCCTTTTGCCAAGCTTGGATTTAGTTTTCGCCATAGGCGAGCTTGCGGATCCCAGGATCAACCTGCGAACCTAGACGGTTCCGAGCAAAAGAGTGAGTGCGAGCTGAAGCAGTGCGTGCACGTTTTTGGCTGTGGTTCTGGGATTCCTTGAGATTGGTAGCGGAGCAGGCTACCGGTTCAAGGGATACTAGTGAGCCCACGTTGAATTCATTGCGGTTGCCTCCGCCTATTTGCTCTTCTTTGAGGCGGCGGAGCTGAGGCTGCGACAAGATCCCGTTGGACCTTCTGCTCCTGTTCTTGGGTGTTCGCCGGGAGTATGGCATTGGACTCAAGAGATGTTCCGTCTTTGCGGTGCACTTGGGACGGGGAGCCAAGCACGTGGAATGACTTCTGCTGTCGGGTTCGTTTGTCTTTCGCACAAACACCCCGCAGGAAACCTCATCTCCTTGCTCCTCGCATCGTGAGTGAGCTCACTGGTCGTGCCTGGGCCATTACAGGCGACAAGAGACGGTGTGATATTGTGTCAGTACTTGAAGGAGTCCTTGGGTCGGCTACGTGTGCCTGACATCGGAGTGCGTCTGGAGGCCCTGATGCTGAGGCTACGGCAAGCCCCTTCACAAAGTATGGCAACTCGGGCCAAGTTGCCTTGGGCTGCGCATCTTCGCTTGCAGTATCGGCATCTTCAGGTGGCTTCTGTCTCGTGTCAGGACGAAGTCTGGAGAAAAGCCAAAGGCAGGACAGAAGTCGACTTCCAAACCGTCGGCGGCTTCCTCTCCAGCACGAAGATCGAGTTTGGCGACCGAGGAGGAGCCCCAGGCCGAGAATCAGCCGGCAGATGATGACGACCAGGTTACCACTGGACCTGCTCCTGAGGAAAATCGGGACGATGAGGAGGTGGAGCTTCAGGAAGATAGCAGCGTCCTATGGGAGGCTCATGATGAACAACTTCCGGTAGTTCTTCCTTCTGAAGTTCTTGGATGGCGAGACGAGCCGGCCTGACCAGCCAGCAACGTCTGTCTGTGCAGGCGGCCGCAGGCAACAGTCCGAAGTTGGATCTGGCATGAAGATGTATGGTGGAACGAAGCGCCTGACTTCTCCGACCTCCCGCCTGAGGCCTGAGGAGCAGAAAGAAGTGGATGAGGCATTTGCCGTGGCTGAGCCGAAGATGAGAAATTTTGTTCAAGCCCGGCAGCCTGTGAAGGCCCGAAACTTGTCTCGTGGCTTCTACCCCTTCTCTCCTCACTCAAAAAGGGGAGCCTTCAAGGAAAAGGAAAAGGGAAAGCCAAGAGCTCATCCTCGATGAGTTCCACCTTCCTTTCCGAGGGCTTCCTGGGGGCCGCAGTGGGCGACCCGTCCTACACTGGCTGCTTGAGCGTCCGGCAAGCGAGCAAAGGGCAAGAAAGGAGGCCACATCAACTTCATCGATGCCGTGGTCTACATTGTGGAAGAGATCCCCGAGGATGGCGGGTGCTTCCAAAACCTCGACGACCTTGAGCTTCCTGTTCTCGAGGAAGAGATGGCTGGATACGCGGTCATCGACAGTGGGGCCACAGAGACTGTCTGCAGCTTGCCCGCGTTGTAGTCTTTGGTGAAGCTCAAGGAAAGCCAAGAAGGAATGCCCGTGGGTTTGGAGGTGACTCGAGAGCCTGTGAAGCGTTTTAAGTTTGGCAATGGAGAGCATGCCTGTGCGTCGTCTGTGTTGTTGGACCAGGTGCTGGGTGAGCGCAAGATACAGCTAGGGATGTTCACATTGGACGTCGAAGGAGTTCCTGTGTTGTTGGGCATGAAAACTTTGCGGAGGCTGAATGATCATAGACTTTGATCGCTGTTCGGTGGCAGTCAACCCGAACCTGGCGATCGGGCTGAGATGGAGCCGAGCCGGCCATTTGCTCTTGAATCTCACCCAAGATTGGCTTTCGCAAGGCGTGCAGTTGGACCAGCTAGGGTCTGAGCAAAAACTTCATCCTGAGATTCTGCAAGCTGAGATTGAAGAAAATGGGAGTGTCTCTGCTTTTATGGTTGTTGATGCCCCATCGACTGCTTCCAATTCAGTCCTCGCCCTGGCAACTTCGGAAAGAAGCTGAAAAAGCTTTCTTCCGAGCATCGAGCTCGGGAGCAGGCGACTCGGGCCAAGAACGCTCGGACCCGAGAGCATGTTCAGTACCTCACTGGTGACCTCATCTTCTATCGAAGGCTCCAGCGTCCGGCAGATCTACCAGCCAACAGCATGCTGGACTACCCTCAACTTCGGCCCTGCTCGAGGTTGATGGAGTGTCGAGATCGCGGGTTTCGTGCAAGCCAGGTTCGGCATCCCTCTGTCTCACAGAAGTTGGTAAGCAATGCGGTGTCAGCCCCTACGTTCCCTTGGACTTTTACATCCTTGACTTCATTGCTGCAGAAAGGGGGCTATGATGATGAGTCCCGACCTAAGCGGAGGACTTGGGGACGATCGTCAAGGGTGAAAGCCAAAGCCCAAAAAGTCCAAGAAAACGACTGGAGTCAACAAGAAGGTCTGAACGGTCCGGTGTGCCTCGGCATGTGCGTGATGCTCCCTCAGAAGAGCGCCCAAAACGGCCTCCGCCTGCGGACGAGGACGACGAGCTTGACATCGATCGCTTGCTTGAGGATGTGACCTACTTTCCTCCTGGGCAACCTGGACCTGTGTTTTTGCAGGAGCAACGAGCTTCGCATGAGAGGAATGATCGACCATGGCATGTCCAGCATGGTTGGAGGAGGAATTGCAGAGCACATTGTTCTCTGTTACCCTGGAGATCCCTGAGGACCCGAAGGCCTGGAAGAAGATTCTCAAGGACCCCTCCAAGTTAATGGTGTTCAGAGGGGCGTTGAAGTCGCCTACCACAAGCTCAACGATAAGCGGAAGACGGCAAGGAATGCGGCAAAAACAGTCGAGCTGGAGTCCTGGCTTGGACACAAGGTGGCTCGGGCAGCATGTCCATCCGTCACTGAGGACCAGTGCATGCGTACGCGATGGCTGTGCACGTTCAAAGCAGCCGGTGATGAACCGGTTGAGAAGGGGAAGGTCAACGCCAAAGTCAGAATAATGGCTTGGGGTCTTCAGACCCCTCGCTCTTGGAGCGGACTACAGCGAGCCCGGCCATGTCCAGGTTGAGCAAGATGCTGTTGTTGAATATGGCCAGTGCCAAACGATGGAAGTTCTCCAGGCCAAGCCTCCAGAGCGTTTGCGCCCTCTTTATGCAAAGCCACTCCCTGAGCCAGATGATCGAACTTCTGGGATCCGCGTACGGCCTGACCTCAGCGCCGAGAGAATGGTTCGATGACTCTGCCACTACGCTGCGCAAATTTGGAGCCCGTCAGAGCAAGAGTGACCCATGCCTGCGGACGGTAGCCGACAGCAGTGGCGTTGTCATAGGTCTTTTGGGAGTTCACGTTCATGACGTGCTGTTCTCCGGCGACGAAGGATCTTCAACCTGCGCCGCCTTTCTTCATGATCTTCATTCTGCTTATAAATGCCCAGACCCCAGGTGACTCCATAAATTAGAGTCCCCCAACGCTTCACAAAATAGAGGCGCGCAGCGCCTCCAAAAATAGAGTCACTGCCCCAGATGCCCACGATGTTTTGACGTGTTTCGCCATGAGCCAAGACAATACCCAGCGTGAATTCCCCGAATATGGAACTTTTCCTTGCGCATCACGCGCGTCAGGCCATGATTGACCTTGAGCCAGGCCGTTGGAGGAAAAATGCAACGGAAAACAAAAACTTCACCCTGCAAGAATGACCCCAAACCTCAAACTCCAAAACCTTAACTACACCCTAAATTCTAAACCTTACACGGCCATTTGAAGCACAATGGAAGTTACCGCGGAGTGGCCACTTCTGGCCTGATCCCAACCCCCGGCTTTCCCCGTAAAAATTAAAGATGTTGCAAATTGCCTCTGGCGCAAGTCCGTGTTTCTGGGGGGTGCAAGAATTCCGCGGAACTCAAATCGGCTTTGCAAAGGTTTTCATTGCGGCCGCGTGCGGCGACTGCGAAAAAGTACACGCGAGTACGCCCGAGTACGCCCGAGTACGCCCGAGTACGCCCGAGTACGCCCGAATACGCCCGAGCACGCCCGAGTAGTACGCCCGAGTACGCCCGAGTACGCCCGAGCACGCCCGAGTACGCCCGAGTACGCCCGAGTACGCCCGAGTACGCCCGAGTACGCCCGAGTACGCCCGAGTACGCCCGGGTACGCCCGGGTACGCCC